GGCCCGCCCCCCCCCCCCCCCCGACCTGCAGGAGCAATGTGCTTTGGCTCCTGGCAGGTTCAACCATCACTTTGTCCACAGCAGCACAGACGAGGCTCAGTCCCAGCTCATTAATGTTGAAGTACTTGGTCAACAAACTTGCTACAAACAAGCTTCTTAAAGAACCTCAGTAATATAATATCCAGCAAATTGGGGACTAGTGTACAAACACTACTGAAAGTTTCTGCTGCACAGAGTTAAACAAATCACCTAAAGTCAGTGGGCTGAATTTTAAAATGACTTTAGCACAGCTCTTATTCCTTTGTTGCAGCGCACTTATCTTGAAAACTTGTGTGGATGGCAAATGAGGTGGTTAATTAGCTTAAGCAAGCTTATGTGCATCCAGCCAGAGGGCAAACGACAGAATGAAAGAGGCTGTTCAGAGCCAGCCGGCTCTCTGTAAACTCTTATGTAAGGCAGAATCTGCATCCTGTTTCTCTCAGCTACATTATTGATGCAGGCTTCTGTTACCATGCTGGGTGTGTTTGTGTGTGTGCGTGCCAATGACCGTGTACACCTGTAAGTCAGTCTCTCACCTCTGCTGTTTCGTAGAAACGGTGGTCTCTCCTCCAGCTAACGTCTTGTCACTTTCTCTCCTGCTCTTTTCTGCATGCTCTCTTGTTCTTTCTTTGCCTCGTTTCTTTTTTCTGTATTAATGTAAGGCCCCTCCTGCTCCTCCTCTTTCTCTCTCAGGCCTTCATTTCTCACTAACAGATGTTCTCTGCACCATGTGGGAGGGCATTCCTCTTCTCTGCTGTGAAAGCAAAAGAAAAAGAATAAGCACAGAAAAATCAAACGAGGACGACGGCAACACAACTCCCTAACTCAGCAATCTCAAAGTAAAGCCTGTGTGCCCTTCTTTCCCCTGTAGACAAAGTATCAAGTTAAAGATCAGAGTGCTTTTGCCTTTTTATAACACACTGCTCCCAGCATTACACAATATCTGAAAGGTCATAGAAGCACATATATGGGCAAGATGATGGGCGTCATATAGAAAAGCATTCATACAAACACACACAACAGCAGCAGCAGGTGTGAGGAGAGCAGGGAGAGCAAGGCATATACTTGACTGCTTAGACCTCATGGGTTCTTTAAAAATTCAAACATGTCAAAAGAGCACCATGGGAGTCCTCCTGCAGGTCAAGAGTGAGGACAGGATTTTCGAAACAGAGGAGGAGAGAGAGATTTTTTGTTCTTCTTCTTCCCCCATAAATAACAGTAGTTCGGCACTCTTTAGAACCAGAAGATGGAAGTGAGTCGGTCAAACACAGTGGCCCACGCAGACATAAAGAGACTAAAGGATGGAGAGTGGGTTAAGCGTGTGCATGTGTGTACGGGGGTTGTTGCATGTGTGCATGGTGACTGGCCACTGGATGCTGCAGTAAGGTGACCCACTTACACAGAACTCCCCCCTCCTGAACACACACAAACACACACTTACACTAGCCTCTGCACATGCACACCTCACCCGCTGAAGTCTGGAGGGTGCTTTGGCCCCATTTCAGACATTAATGTGTTTCAAGAGTTGTGGGAGATGAGGCAGGAGGTGGCGTGTGTGTGTGGCAGGGTTGAAGACAGATGCAGTAACAGAACACAAGAAGAAATTAAAGGATAAAGAAACAAAAAAGGAAACAGTACAGAAAGCAGATGTACAGTAAATAAGATGTATGTGTGAAGTACAGACCAGGTGACCCGGTGGATCAAAATAAATGAACAGGGAATTTGCGCCAGGACCTTGTTAAGGGTGTGTCTCTAATCGAGTACAGCCATTGACTCCATGTACCACCGTGACATTCAGCATAAAGGTCAACTCCTTGCTGGTATGCACAAGATAACAGGCCAGACACATCCACGATCCAGAGACAAACACAGAGATAATACAAGATAACACCACACAAATGAAGAGGCGATGAACCTGAGTTCATTATGCATCCCTTTCATTCATGGATGAATGTCTGATTGGCATCTGCTTTGCATGTAGCTATCAGGTCAGTGGAAATTAACTCATTCACAACTTTAGATGTCTAAACAGTAATAGTAGGCTACCACTTCATGGAAGATATATAATACCGCCATCTAGTGGAGAAAAAATAACAGTAGCTTTATCTACAAAACTCACTAGACAGAATACTTTCGCCTGTCAAGAGTAATCTACAGTAGAAGGGTTTCAGCTCCAAATATATTAACACTTGCATCAGTAAATATCTCTTAATTACCAAAATTGCTATAAATGTGTACATTTTAAATATTTTCATGTAATGAGGACAACTTGTGCATACTTTAAAAAGAAATGAAAACAAAAGAGACACCTCAGATTGTGATTTTCTGCTTTGATGATCTGATTTGTGCACAAGCACTGTCACCTAAACCTATACCTCGCTTTCACTGGGTTTTTCCTTGACAGGCCTTTACAGTAAGTACCTCTACGTACAACATGGCCCACACACCTCACACTGCTATACCCTCCCACTATCCAAAACTCTGAGTAAGTGCAAAAGGAAGACTTGAAATTTAAAGCAAGAATGGCTACATCATTTGAGAACACTGCACTTAAATAAGTTAAGAATAGCTCACATTATGTCTCTTTGCCAAGGTGTTAGAGAAGCAGTTTGAAAAACATGGAGTCTTATCAGGCATGGGAAGTATAAAAGATGCTTTAGGTTGCATCAGATGTAGAAAATTGAACCTTGACCTATATTAAGTACTAAAAGTCAAGATGTTTCAGTGGAGTTCTGCCACAGCCCTAAAACTGAGCCCCAACTTGTAGTGTTACATTTATGACCAGAATTCAACCCAAGACTAAAATTGTATTAAATCCTTCATTCCATACTGACCATTAGCTTGCTATACTAATACAGCACATTGGTAAAAGGATATGCAATGATGCCGATTATTAGTAAAGTCAGAGAGAAAAAAAAACTTCTTAATAAATTACTTAAGATAACCTCACCCAAGCCAAGACTGGAGTTTTATGTAACAAAATGGCAGTTGGCAGACCTTTAACATCAATTTTAACAATCTGATTTAATGTGAAGTAGGCCTATACAAAATTGCTGGAGTTGCCTATCATTCTATAATTTTAAAGGAATAGTTAGAAATTAGGTGAAGTATGCTTATCTTTGTTGCTGAGAATAACACCACTTAACTGTCCAGTAAAGCTAGTGCAGCTGGTTAGCTTAGTTTAGCATCAAGTGGAAACAGCTCTGTCCAAAATACATTAAATCAACCTATTAGCATCTTTAAATCTCACCATCTGAAATGTATCATTTAATCTGTACCGAAACCAGTGTTAAAAAAACAAGTTGTGAATTACACATATGAGTTAGAACGTAAAGTGCTGAGCTTTAGCACTACTAGCAACAGATACCTGTACATTTGAATAGAGCCAGGCGTGAGTGAACCTGATCTAAAATTTAAATGGAATGGATCTAAATGGAATTTTTATTTTGTATTTCATTTTACACAACCAAATGTTCTGCCCGGTTAAGGTAAAGATAGGGAGTGACAAATAATGGTATCAGTTAAGATGGACCAGGTTTACGCCTAAAAGACAACTCCTAGATTTACTGGTTAGTGGGACAGATTCAGCATCGTCACGCATCTGGAAGCTGGGTATGCAGTAGAGTACAGTAGAGAGGAGAATACTTCACTGCTGTATTGAATATGCAAATGTAATCAACCACCATATGATTTGTCAGTGGAGCATGAGGTTCGTCTTCATCAGCTAGGGATAGAAAAGCAAACCACTGGTGAAAACGCTGGTTCAGACAGCAGCTGTGTTTATTATTCAGACATTTTGAATAATTGTTTCTCATATATCAGGCAGCACAATGTGGAGGTGCACAGAATGAAGTGGAAAGAAGAAAAAGATTTAATAAGATATAGCTGGTTGTGATTCATGTGACTGCAAAGTCATGCAAGACCTCAATAATACAGTAAGTCACACAATCAAGTGATAAATGCATTTAAATGTGTTCAACCATGACGATGTAGTGTCAAGCACTAATTATTTCTGAGCCCTAAAGACATTTAAATTTATGTAAAGGTGTCCTCAGTAGATAATGACACTGTTTTAGACCCTAACAGCAAAATACATGTCAAAGTGGAAGGTGTATATACAAGTTAGGAAAGACAACTTATCAAAATTGCAATGTCTGAATATGCAGAAAATCTGTGTTATGGTGGTGATGTGGTCCACACTCTGCTTTACCCTTGAAGGACTGAATGTATGCCACTGACTGTTATAATACTGATGTTGAATGCACTGATATTTTTATGATATTCTCAGCAAATATAACATGGGGGATAATGTAACACATGGGTGAGTTTAACAGCTTCCCACAGTGTTCTTCACTATTTCAAGACAGCTCCCAGTTACACTATTAGGGCTATCTCTATTAAAGCCCTCTGCCATAAAGGGAAAAACACATCCAAACACGTCGTTAAATTTTTCACGTAGGCAGCTTTTGCAATGCAGCTGACAATTTTTGCACTAATGTTGCCGCATTTTACAGAATAAAGAACATAACTCACTATTCTTTTAGCTAACTAATAACTTCTTATGGGATTAAACATAATTTGGGCCATTGCTGTCACCTGTGGGTCTGTAATACTATTGTTGTACTGTATGTACATCATAAGTTCAACTTCATTCATTATTTGGACGTTAGACGTCGCATTTGAGTAAATAATAAGTAAAATAAATGTTCAAATGTTCTAACAAGACAGCCTAACACGACCAAAATTACACCAGCAGTCCAACAACACTTCATATTCATTATCATTAGCACATGAAAAACTGTGCCGATTCTTATCAGCAACTAATCAGCACAAAAACTAATTGATAATCAATAAGAAGCACGGGTGATTCAAATAACCGACCTCGAATCAGATTCCTACTGATCTCCTCACTCTCATTAATGGAAGTGCTGGTTACAATCTGATCCCAGGTCAGTGCTCGCTGCGCGCCTCCAGCCGATGACCACGTGGTTTTGTCCGGCCTGGCAGCGGAACATGTGGAGCAGCAAGATGGCAGCGCGGTGGAGGCGGAAAGATGGGTGTTTAAATGCCGGTAACAGCGACTTTCTGGCCGGCAAAATCCACAATGAGGTACCGGTTTCTTCACTTTAGCCAGTCTGACATGAAAATAACCATATACGAACAGGTTTTTGAGTCTTAATAGGAGGTGTTTAACCTTCGAGCGAGCTCACATCCGCGCCTGGCGACACGTGGCTGAAACAGGCTCGTATAAGAGCTAGAGTCAATACTGAGCTGACCGACCACTCTGCCCTTTGGACCGAGTGGGTATGGTAACACGCTTAATGACACGATAGCTAATGCCATTACCTCTTCATTTATGTTTATTACGACCCCCATTATGAAGGATTTACATGTGAAAGCCGACAGTGAGACCGGCTCATTCAAGTACAGAATGTTCAGATAAGGCTGCATCCGCACCCTTCTATCCACACCTTCACAGTGCCCTCTGTACCTTCCCTGTTTAGTTGTCTATCCCTCTAAAACAACTTAAAATTAAACTTTAAACTGCTTTAGTGTCACCTAAGCGTACAAGGGTTAAATACCCTGTTACAGTATTATAAGCCATAAGAATATTTGTCTGTACTTGCCAGAGATGGTGGGCAGGTTGCGATCCGCCTACGCATCTTGTCCCCTCTGCCTCCTACTCACTTTAACACTTCTGTCCTAGTGAAACTTGGAAAGGTTTACCTAATTGTAGAATTAGACCTCACTTTGCAAAGAGCTTGTTTGAAACTCTTGGCTCTTTGAAAATGTGTCTATTGGGCTTTAGACATTATATGCAGTTCAATATTGGTTCTTCGTTATGAACCGAACTGTATAAAGTTCTATGTTATTATCCAGTTGTTGGCCAGACACAATAAGAAAACATGTTGCACTTTTTTTTTTTAAGTTGTGACTGTTTTGACATTTTAAAGCCCAAAATGTTTGTTTAAAGTGTAGTTTGATAGGAAAACCAGTTGCTGTTTGTAGCTGTACGTTTTCTGTACTGTTTGTTGAATGTCATTCAAATTTACATACATGTATATCAATTTATTTGTTAGGTTTATGGCTTAAGCATGCATTATAAATCTTACTGTTTTTCCACGGCTGTATTTAAGCTGTGTCAGAATAGACTGCTCTTCCTGTTTATGCTGAGAAAGATAAGTTTGAGCTTACTGTGTTCTGGTCACACCTGGGGCATTGTAAAATTGCACAAGGTAGAAATAGTAGAAATAGGCTATATCAGAGTAAAGGCACATTAACATAATTTTTCTCTCTCTCTACAGTTGGTCCTGAGTAGAGGTAATGTTGAAGATGTGGAGAGGGACACAGAAGCCTGTATTGATCACTCCATCCTGGCCATTTTTGAGGATTCCACTGTTGCTTCAGAGGTCAGTATTAAAGCTTATAAAGCTGGATGATTGCACATCATCACAGTAGGAATGAAACAGTTCCTGCAGTTTCACAGTAAACCATGGCAAAGTTTCCAAAGGTTAGTGTTTCAAATTTGTATTATCATCAAAATAGTAACTGATTACCGCACTTTGTCAGACTCCCCTGCTAAAGGGTTAAATAATGTCCAGCATCAGCCAAAGTTAAAGAACAGTGAGCCAGATGCAGGTGCCGTGTGTGTGTGTTTGTGTGTGTGTGTGTGTGTACCAAGAAGAGCATGGCACAGAGCATCTCTAGAGGGCTGTGACAACCCTCCAGAGATTCTCTGTTAACTCTCTTCTGTTAACTCGACAAGCACAATATGCTGGTAGAATTTGTCAGATTAATCAGTAAATGTGGGGTTTGTCCTTCTCGAATTCAGAATAAGAATGTTGTGGATGAAGAGAGTGAGACCCTGCTGTCCGCCTTGCCCGAGATACTGGACAGTGTGGACAATGATGATGAGACTCTGTCTCCCTTTGACACCCTTCCAGACACCAAACTCCTCAGCTGCTCAGAGCACCGGGACAACTCTGTGGTGGGTACCTACACAAGCAAAACAGCCTAATCTGCTGAGTTAGCACTTCATATGTTCATTCAGGCTCAGGTGGATATGAGCTGCCATTGAGCTGAAAGGACTCATCAGCATTATCTTGAGTATGCCAGGCTGAGATTTTAAATGATAAGTCACAACACCCCTTCAAACTCCACACACATATATATATATATATATTGATAACTTTGTCCCTTTATTAATATTTTCCATTCTTCACCATTCCTTTCTCTCTCCTTCTAATTAGATTATGTCATTTGTCGATAAGCCAAGACCTAAATCGGCAAATGTAACCGTCACAATACAGAGTGATGGAGAAAAGGAAGACGAGGAGAGAACTGAGCTAAACCGCCTTTCACAGCTGGTCAAACAACAAAGTGAAACATCATTTCACTCTGAGAATAAGAAAACAGAGAATGAAGTTGAGGTCTTCACCTCAGCTTCTCTTGTCAACCTGGTGAAACTCATGCACTCCTACTGTCTGAAGCTGCATGTGGAGGAGGGGGATAAACTAATGAAAACCCCCATGTTATTCTCCCAGGGAGAGGTGTGGAAGTATGAGAAGCCCAGTGAAGAGAACGATGAAGAGATAGATGTTGTGTCTGATAAGGAGGTGCCTGTTAGAGAGACCAAGCAGGAAGGACAGGGAGCTCCAATGAGAGATGACTGTAAACTCTTAAAGAGTGTGCTGCTGAATAGGAGTGTATCCAGGGTTCCACCATTAAGGCAGAAGAAAAGGGTGAGCTTTGGCCCCATTCAAGTGGCTTCATTAGATGAATCAGTGGAAAAGAGACTGAACGAGATAAATCTTACGAGTGGGCACACATGCGAGACTGTGTCAGTTCCACCAAACAGCTCAAAAGCACTTGAAAATCCATCTTGGCCAGCACTTGAAGCCCAAACAGCATCCTCAGAAATGAACTGTAACAAGTTTGAGGTGCTGCCGCCAAAAGCAGAGACAAAGGCCAAATCACTCAGCCTCCAAGAGTATAGACAGCTGCGCCAGAGGAAGCAGCCCCCGGTGGAGAAACCGGGGAACAGCACCACCAAGTGGCCCTCTGTTTCTGAGCCCCCCAAAGAGCTGCCCCCCATCCTCTGTTTACAGGGTCAAAGACAAAACAGCTGCAGGCCAAAGGCAGCATACAGTCATCCAGGCTGTTCCAGAATCAGTACTGAGCATCTCTGTAAACCTGGTTACAAGACATCATCCCATCATACTTCACCACCACTCAGGCCTCACCCATCAGAGGCAGTACCACCCACTTGTCTACGTCACAGCACATTAAAACACCCGAAGACTGAGCGTAGAACCATCTCACCCACTAGCCCCCTGCCAGACCTCAAGGCTGACTCAAGTGTTACTGTGCCTAGAAGCAACAAGAGTCCAATGAAGAAACCAGCACTCGGTAGTGATCCCCCAAATCCTGTCCTCCTCCCCTTGCCAGTCAGCCAAACAGCAGCACCATCCACTGATTGCTCCAAGTCAGAGACCAGAGTGGGCTTCCTCAACAGAGACACCATTCTTCAGAGCACCAGGCACTTGCAAGAAATCCACGGTGAATTCTCAATTGCACCTCCACCTCAACAGCCATCCTCCTCACAGCCAAAGCCCCAGGCGTTGTTACAGAACCAGGACAGCACCACCGTGCTTCAGGAAGTTAAAAACAGGTTTACTGACATACCTACACACATATCTAGGTCTCAAGCACTGTGTCCCCCCACAGCACAAATGGAATCTACTTCAGAGTGCAAGAAACTACAGCCTCAAAAATGCAGTCAGATGCCAAAGGAAGAGACCAAGCTGGAACCAAAGACTTCTCAGACACTATCTCCAAATCCAGTGAGGCATATACAGTGCCCTTCTGCCACACCATTTTCTGCTCCACCACCTTCTCCCATAGACACTGTCATACCAGAGAGGGGAACATTGCCAGATGTTCCTTCGAAGATTTCTCCCCCTGTGGAACCACCAGCTACTCTTCAGCTTGGCAGTAGAGTCCAGAATGCAGCAGGAGAGTCAGGTACTGTAAATCGATCACAGTGAAGAAACTACAACTAGCCCACATATTTTAACAGATGTATCCAGTTAAGTGGTATGTCACTGTTTTCCTTTTACCTCAGGAATTGAAGCCCCTGATCTGACCAGCCTACTGGAACAGTTTGAGGAAACGCAAGGTGAGTGATGACACCGGCGTGTTGTTGATTTGGATGCTGACTTGTGGTTCTTGTATAACCTATTTTTGTTCTTCCTCCTCCAGCTAAAGAAGAGCGAGTATGTGAGAACGAGCTGGAGCCCAGACTTATTAGTGCTGCTCCACCTTCAGACTTGCTGACACAAAAAGACTTGGGCCTGCACAGAACTCAGGAAGCAGGAACGGAAAAGACCCCCAGATTAACACTGACCCCATCTGTGGAAGCACTTGAACCTCTGAGTGTTTCGGAAACACCTGAGACTCCAAAACCCCTCAGGAATCTGACAGATGTCAAGGTGCTGGAACTTATGGACGTCCCTGAGCCCCTCGGCACTGAAGTCATCCTCAGCACTCATCAGCGACGCAAAAATCCTCTGTCCAAGGCCGTTCAAATCATTGAACCTCGACCTTTGCCATCCAAAAGGACTCTCGCCAGCCCCTCAGATCTCCTTGCTGCACATATCCCTTCTCACGTGCATTCATCTGTATCCTCGGATCATGATTACTGTGGGCCTGTGGATCATTCCCTTACAAGTGCTACTCAGCGTAGCAGAACTAAGGCCTCTTTATCCAACGATATTTATAAAAACACTAGTGAATTGCAGGTGACCACACAGGATGCAAGTGCTGCTGCTGAATGCAAAAAAACACTGGCCTCAACTGGGCAAGCAGAGTCTCTGTTGCAGCATCACTCTGAGAAAACTAGGGCCAGATCAGAGACAGAACCATCCCCAGACAACTGTCTGCAGCCTTCAGACAGCACTGCCACAGGAGACGGTGGTGCAAGTGAAGACAAAACGGGCCCATGCACCCTCCCTACGCCTCCACCCAGCCCTCCTAGCAGAGGGAGAGAGAAGAGGAGATATCGGAGAAGGTCTCCTCGGTCAGATTCCAGCTGCAGCTCTCAGTCCTCCTCGTCATCGTGTTCCTCCCTCAGTTCTACATCTCGCTCTCCAAAAAGACAAAAGTAATTGTTTTTGGTGATCATGTTCAAAATTTATTTCATAGTTTGCTTCTCGTGCAGCATTCTTTATTCTAATGATCTGTCTTTCAGGATTTATCACAAGCGTTCAGAGAGCAGTTCATGTTCCCCATGCTCCTCACGCTCAATGTCCTGCTCCCCACCTCGGCACTACAGGTTGTCTTACTCAAGGTGTAGCAGATCAAGGTCCAGATCTTGGTCCTCCTCTAGGTCCCGATCACCATCTCCGCGGATTTGCCGAAGGCGGTGGAGAGATGTTTACAGGTCAGTTCATTTAGGGTGTTTTCCTTGTAGACATTAAGAAGGAGGGCTGGTGCTCAGTGCTTATCTTAAGTCCAGGCAGTCTTGGTGTATTGATGGGGATTTAAATTTTAATGGCCACATCAATGCTGTAACAAAATCATCATTCTGGCATCTTAAAAAGAGCCATAACGAGGATTTAGAAAAGCTCATTCCTGCTTTTGTTTCTAGTAGGGTAGACTGCTGTACTCCTGTTTGGCCTCCCCAGTAAGACAATTGGACAGTTCTGACTAATTCAGAATGCTGCTGCTAGAATACTGACAAACACCAAGAAGAGAGAACACATTACTCTAGTCCTGAGGTCTTTGCACTGGCTTCGAGCTGAATACAGAATTCAGCTGAAGGCCCAACTTTGCTGAGTACAAGAGTGGCAGGTGTCTCAGAGCAAGGGTGCAAAATATATTGAGAACAGTGACAATCCGCATTCTGCCACAGCTATCCTAAAAATAATGGGTCTCAACAGCTGCATGTTGCATAAATATTCTCATTGGCACTTCATTGCAGCACTTCTGCCTTAACATCTGTGTTTATGAAGCTAAAAATGTTTCAGTTTTTGCTGAAATTGGCAAATATATAAATTCAATATTGAGGTCATGGTTAAAAGTGGGGTTTTACTGAAGTACATTATATTTAGAGGTGTTCCTAATATTCTGGCTGAGGAGGACAAAAATATAGAGACACCTCTGAATATAATGTAGTTTGTAATATGAATGTATATTGTTACTTTGTGCTGTCAGGTGACTGCTGCTTTTAATTTGCATTTTGTTTTATCTACCTGTGTGCGTCGTATTAAGCACTTTGTATAGGAAAATGTATTTTATAAATAAACTTGCCTTGCCTAGATAATTCAATAGATGTTTATTTTAAATGTCAGCTTTCCACACGTATCTCTGGCTTTGTCAAGTCTTAAATTGTAATCTTTTCCATCCCAACATCCCCACAGCAGCAGAAAGTCCAGGAGGGAACATGAGATCAGGACTCAGAAACTTAAAGCCATAGTGAGTACAAGATCATTTCACATCAGCTGGTGTGTTTGTGTACGTGTGTGGGTGGGGAGATTTTTAAGATGAGTAATGAGTGGTGCATAATCATGAATGTTGTCTCAAACAGAATGAACGCAGGGTGGTGTACGTTGGTCGCATCCGCAGGTCAATGACACACAGTGAACTGAGAGAGCGTTTCTCCCAGTTCGGAGAGGTTGAGTGTGTGTCGCTTCACTTCAGAGATAGAGGGTATGTATGAAGAACTGGGTTTTCAAATGGCTTTGCATTTACTGTCCATTGATGTTTTATATTGCACTGAGTTTATCAATATTAAAATCCTGCATGTTTGGTTCCGATAGCGACCACTACGGCTTTGTCACATTCTACAATATGGAGGATGCTTTTGCAGCCATCGATAACGGCGGCAAATTACGAAAGCCTGACGAGCTACCATTTGACATCTGCTTCGGTGGAAGGAGACAGTTCTGCAACTCGAACTACTCTGATCTAGGTGAGACTGCGTTCACACTGTAGTGTCAGCATGAACTGGACATTTTGTGCCTCACAGACCTGGTGTTTGTTGCAGGGCTGTGACACTGATTACACAGGTGTCCAGTCATTTTGTTGTTTTTAAGTAACTGACAGTAAGCCAGTACATGTAACTGTTCCTCAGATGCAAACAGAGATCCAAACCTGTCTCCTGCCAAGAGCAGGTTTGAGGACCTTGACTTCGATGTGCTGCTGAAACAGGCCCAGAGAGGAGTGAAGAGGTAGCACCGAGCTGGAGGTGGCACAAATGAGAAGAAAGTTGTTTGTTTTTGTTTTGGTTTTTAATGAACCTCAGAGCATAATGCATGTAGCAAACTTTGGTGTTAATTTTATTTTATGTTTGAATCACATATATATTTTGTGATGTTTGCAGGTAATATGAACATATGTAGCTCTTAATTTGAAAATATGAGGTGAGACCCACTAAATATTTTTGTTGCATTACATAACAGATTTTTGTATAATTGTATAAAAATAAAGGATGTTTATTGTGTTTCTTGACTAACACAGCGTAATTTATATGATTTGTTTTCGGAGTTAAATCCAAAGTACATCTTATGTTCACTGCAGACATTTTGACTTGTCATTACAGGACAAGTACAGGGGTAAGTAATTACTTTAATGTTTTGATTTGATTGATTGATTGATTTTATTCTTTCAAACATGCAGAACAGAACAAATGACAACAACACACATAATTACACATATCCAACCAATGCTAATTCAAAATCAGTTTGCTTACACATATTACATGTTTGAATGGAGTAGGAAGAAGTCAGACTTATCCAGTCCTACCCCATGACATCATATTATACAAAATTCCTTGCATCATTGGCTGCAAGCAGTATCTCTACTTAGATAAAACAGAGTGTTTCCTTAATGCCTTCTCGAATAAATCTTATTCTTGCATATATCTTGTATAACACATACATTTATATTTATATTTAAACTCCTCAATTCTAGTACTATTCTTCATGTCCCCAGTTCAGGTATTCCATAGTTTGACCCCACTTATAGAAATACAAAATCTTTTTTTGGTTGTACGTATAGCATGAACCCTTAAATTTAAGTGACCCCTTAAGTTATATCCCCCTTCCCTTTCACCAAATAACTTTAGGATTCCACCAGGTAATAAGTCGTTCCTGGCTTTATACATAAACACAGCAGTCTTATATTCCACCAAATCAAAGAAAAAAATATCTGATATGAGATTTCCAGGAGAATTTGTCATCAACTATGACACCTAGAAATTTGATTTCATATACTCGTTCAATGTTGGCACCCCCAATTCTCAATTGAAGTTCATTATGTGGTCTACGGTTCCCAAATACCATATATTTAGTTTTCTCTAAATTCAAAGATAGTAAATTATTATCACACCATTTCTTTATCTTGCCAAATTCCTCTGAAACCCTTACAGAGAGTTGCTGTAAGTTTTCATCTGATGCCCAAATGGTAGTATCATCAGCAAACAAAACCATTTTAACAGTATCAGCAACCTTACATATATCATTGATGTATAATATAAATAGTTTAGGTCCCAACACAGAACCCTGAGGCACTCCACATACAATATCAAGCTCACTCGATTGGTATTCACCCAACTTCACAAATTGACGCCTCTGTGTCAAATAACTTCTGATCCATTTCCCAACCATTCCTCTGATCCCATATTTCTCTAACTTATCCATTAATAGTTCATGATTAATTGTATCAAATGCTTTTTTTAGGTCAATAAATATCCCCATCGTATATTTTTTCTCATCCATAGCACTTGTAATGTCCTCCATCAGGTCAGTAATGGCCAAGGATGTCGATCTTTTCGACCTAAAACCATATTGACAATCAGATAAGATTTTATGTTTGTCAATAAATGTGTCTAATCTGTTATTAAAGAGTTTTTCCAGAATTTTTGAAAATTGTGACAACAAATTGTGTTGGGCTCATTAAATGAACAGACCCCAGTGAACCAGCATGCATAAATACTGCATGCTGTGGAACTAATAGTTACAGCTCTGTTTGACAAAAGAACAGGTTTTTTTTTAACTTAAAATCTCAACATCTAGCTAGTTTGTTCTGCGGGTGCCTAATCCAACAGTCAGTCTGATTAGTTTTAATGTCTGTCTCATTTCACACAGCACTTCAGTCTTGGACCTGTTTTTTCTGCTGTCTCCTCCTCCTCCCTGTCTCCATTCCCATCCTTTGTGTAGTCAGCAACTTCATGAATGCTCAAGCACATCATGTGCTCTTGGAGCGTTCAAAGAATGCCTTGTCAAAAATAAAATCTGTCATATAAAATGTGGATTTTAGTTGGACATGGCCAATATTTTAGCATAATTGTATCTTTGTATGTATATTGTGGCTATTTTTACTTGTATGGCTGCGTAGTCGGCTTACGCTTCTTTGCGGAAGTTGTGCGCCTCTTTGCAGTTACTGATTTACTTTCCAACAAGTGTTAGCACGGTAATTTCATTCAGAGGGTGTTGTCAGGTGACCCAGTGTTTGTATTGGCTGTTGCTCTGGTGTTTGCAGGTGAACTGTCCCTTTAAGACGCACACCTGGTAGTCAGACACGTTCAGTCAACGTGCGAACTTTAGTGTCTTAGTCACCGCAGAGTTGGACCTAGTTTACTTATCGTGGTATTTACAACTTTAGACTTGAGATCTTTTCAGTTAGCATCATGTTAACGCCCCTGGTGTTTAGACTCGACTGGTCTGCGCAGGCGTGAAAACCGGTGCAGTAAAAGTGAACAAATTAAAATCCCAGAGTCGGAGCTGGGGCTGCGTGCTGAGCAATAGGGAACTGAAAGAAAAGGCAGTCGGGACACGTCGGCGTTAAACCTAGTAGTTAACCATGTCGAAACCGGGCAGTGCCAAAGGGCAGCACCAGTCCGGGACGAGGCGGTTTATCAGCGGAGTGGTGGAAGGTGAGCACACCGAGACCAGGAACCCGCTTTATATCGGTCCTCCGGAGGCTAGACCCCTGTGCTGGTCCTGCAGAATTAGCCTGCATCTCTTGAATCAACATGTAAACACCATAACTGGGCTCCTGGCTAACATGACTAACTGATGTTTAACTGACTGATTTATTTAGGAGAGATCCACGTATTCGTGTCATGTAAATGATCACCTGTGGTAAGATGACATTATTTAGTGTATGACTCGACCTTTGCTTGATGCAGGTTTTTATGGGCGACCATGGACTATGGAGCAAAGAACTGAGCTGTTTAAAAGGTATGTGACCACCCCCAGGGAATAAATGCAGCATAACTTGGAATGGTGACTATTCTGAAATAGTTTTGTTCTGTTGACTCTGGTCAGATCAGTTTCTTTTCCACGTTTCCAAGACTATTTAAAACACAGTGATCTACTGGTGTGATTGTTTATGTCTGCTGTTGGGTTTGTAGGGAACAGAAGTGGGGTTTGAACACATACCTATATGCGCCCAAAGATGACTACAAGCACAGGATGTACTGGAGAGACCTGTACTCAGCTGAGGAGGCAGGTGAGGTTCACTCCTCCACATGCAGGCAAGGCACCTGTGTTCACACAGGTGTGCAAGCATTCATTTTAGAAAATAAAAACAAAATGAACAGTTTCCCTTGTCTGCCTGGAGTCGACTGTCCACTAAACCAAATAAACAGGGTTTTAAATTAAAAGCACACCCAGCTCAGGCTGTTTCTTGCAAAACACTAATAAAACACAGGGGAGTGTGCTCATTTTGTATCAGTGTCTCACCAAAGTCCTATTCTGAGTCATCATTATCTCCTTAGAGACATTGTTTAACTGTGTAGTCTGGTTGCCTGGATCTTATCAGCCATGAAGAGCAGTGATAATGATTTGACAGGTTTGACAAATGAGTCCTAGTGGTTTAGTGGTCGAATTCTGACCTGCTATGGTCCCCACACTTCACATGCTGATGTGTCCTTGGGCAAGACAATGAAACCCAAGTTACTCCCGATGGCCAGGTCAGTGCTTTGCAGGGACAGTGGCACCATCGGTGTGTGAGGGTGAGAGAGAACTGTTGATGCAGATGGCTCCCTTGGTTCTGTACTGGATACAGATTCTTTGTGTGGGTAACATATATGACCAATAAAAGTGATTAAATCAAATTTAAAAGAATTAAAAGTGTCAGAACAGGCACTATCAGTGGACTTTGGGTCTTCACGGGCCGGTTGTACCGTTGAATAAAACAGCTGATTTTTCTGTTCATCAACCCTGTTTCTTCTCTCATCTCTTGCTCTTTTCTCAGAACAACTCATGGCACTGATATCAGCAGCCAAACAGCATGACGTCACATTCATCTATGCAATCTCTCCTGGTCTGGATATTACTTTTTCCAACCCCAAAGAGGTTGCTGCCCTGAAGAGGAAACTGGATCAGGTAGGACTGGTTGTGCAGAAATGAAGGGTGGAGATAGCTTAATCTAGCTCTCTTGAGTTATTTTTATTTTATATAAAACATGCAACAATAAAATGGAAACAGTTTCTAAAGTAGGTCAACAGGTAACTGACAGAGAAAAGCACATCAGACCCAATCTGCCCCTCCCCCTTTCTTGTACAGGTGAGGGAGTTTGGCTGCACATCCTTCTCTTTACTCTTTGATGACATTGAGACAGAGATGTGTCCAGCTGATAAGAAGACCTTCAGCTCCTTTGCACACGCTCAGGTGGCCATCACTAATGAGGTGTACCGGCACCTGGGAGAACCTGAGACCTTCCTCTTCTGTCCTACAGGTCCGACAGTGAGATTGCATGAAAATGGCCCCGACAACAAACAAGAATGAATAGGATTTAGTCTTTTTAAGCAAAGCCAGAGCATCAAGTGTCTAAGGATTTGTTTTAATTTTTTTTCAGTTTTCCATCATTCACTGTTGTGTTATTCTGTCTCCAGATTACTGTGCTGCATTCTGCTCTCCCAGTGTGTCCCGGTCCTCTTACCTGAACACAGTGGGAGAGAAGCTGCTGCCTGGCATTGACATACTGTGGACTGGTAAGAGATTACACTGAACTAGAGTGTCAGCCTGGTTCCATGCTACTGAACTCATCAGAAGTAAACTAGAGATACACTTCTTTAACACAATTTTAAAGCCCTCTGATTTTATTTATTTATTTTACATTTGCATTAGGTCCAAAAGTTGTATCCCACAAAATTTCTGTTGAGTCCATAGACGAGGTGTCGTCTGTCCTGAAGAGGGCACCGGTCATCTGGGACAATATCCACGCAAATGACTATGACCCCCAAAGACTTTTTCTCGGACCCTATAAGGTACATTTTTACCAGACCACATCATGATGCTTTAATCTGTGAATGCTCCTGTCTTGCCTTGGGTTCTGATTTTAGACGTGATTAACATTATGTTGTCCTGTTAGGATCGTCCCACTGAGCTGATTCCCAAGCTCAGAGGAGTGCTCACAAATCCTAACTGTGAATTTTACCCAAACTTTGTGGCCATCCACACTTTGTCCACGTGGTGCAAGGCTACTGCTGATGGAGGGCCGAGGGATGTGGAAATGGGTGAGTCTCTACTTTTACAAAAAAGAGTGTCTGTTGTAACACCTATGGGGCTACAGAAGTTGAACACTGTCTCACTCTCTGACCTCCACCATCAGGTGATGAGGAGCAGGATCCCTGCTACAGTCCCCAGAAAGCCCTGATCCTGGCTCTCACTGACTGGCTGCAAGAGTTTCTCAGCACAGATCAAACAGGAGGTAAACTCCTGAAGAAAAACATGTCATTAAACAGCAAAGAGTTTAAAGATCTCAAAAAGCAAACGTGCTGTGTCCTACCAGGCTCTCGCCGGCCTCCAGCTCGTCTCAAGAAAGGGTCACCAGATGAGGAGCCCATGCAGACAGACATGGGAGAGGGCTCCTATGTTCCTGGACCAGAAGAGAATCCACTGTACACAGCTGAACCTCTGACCCTGGACGACCTGAAGTTGCTGTCTAACCTCTTCTACCTGCCGTACGAATATGGGCCCACAGCCAGGACCATGCTACAGGAGCTAGACTGGCTCAAGAACCACAGTTGTGCCGCCACTGCAGAGACAGACAAGGTAATACTGTGAGTTTTATAGTTTTTCAAATGCAGATCATCACCTTTCATACAGCTGTTACTTGATGGTGTTTTTCAGTCTGCAGAGTGGCGTTCCAGAGCACAGCACTTTGACGACATGTGCGACGCAGTGGTGCAGATGTTCAATCGCCTGTCAAATGCACCAAACCGCAGCATTCTGTACGATCTCTACAACTACATCTGTGATATCAAGAGTGGGATCGGTCTGGCTCGGGCCTACGTGAAAACACTCGGTGAGAGAATGGTGATTTTGATCCCAAGGGGTGCAACGAAACCAGTCACTTCATGTCCTGGTGCAGAAGAAGCCTGTGAACCAAGGCAAAGATGTGAATAAGATGCAAAATAAGGATATGTTATTTTTGTTTTCCGTAGGAGGGCAGGATCGCCCCTCTGCTCAACTAATGAACGATGACCCTGAGCCTTGGGGCTTCAGAGGAGGCCTGTCTGGAGAATTTCAGGTAAACTAATAATCAGAGGTGTTTAAAAACGGCGACAAATTTGAAGCCATTTTTTTTCCACAAAGTGCGCTGTGATAATTGTCCTTAAGAGGACAAGTCAGCTAGTAAATATTCTCTTTTAGTTGCTGTTATCTCCTCAGTTCAGTGTAGGTCTACATGAACCTGACTGTATATTTGAATTTGCAGAGAATGCTGCCTTGCCACGGAAACAGGGACCTGTTTAGGCATCCTCCCATGACTGCAGTGTACTGCATACGGCCGTACTGCCCTGAGGACAAGGCAAGGAAGGCAGCTCCACTAACACTGATGCATTTTGGTTAAAAATTCTCTAGTGATGTTACACAGTATTGTTTGCTGTCCTAGCTGGAGGTGCAGAGGATCTTCAGGGAGATGCAGAGAGGAGAAGGCAACACTCCGCTCATGACACAGCCTCCTCTTATTTGTGACAGGTAGGAGTCAGTTACTCTGTCCTGAGTATTTTATATCAGCGTCATGTTAACAGTCCCTTTGCCCCACTGCAGCCTGTCAACAGGGGAAATCTCCCCCTCCCCTCAGTGCGCTCTTGTCCTGGAGGATGATACTGGCATGTGTGGGTACGCCCTGGGGCTCGTGGACGCCAAACCAGCAGCTGCCAAGATTGAGGTGATTTAACACAAGATCTGATTGTTTTTCAGAATACAAGATGATGTTACTTCACTATATGTTTTACCTGCAACGTCTAGAGGGTGATAAGTGATTCAGTGTTTGAAGAGTTCCCCTCCCTGGTTACCATTCAAGTTTTGCCCCGGGTCACTGATCCCTCACCAGCCAAGCGGATGATTGGTTGGCTGTCATCATCCATCAGGAGCAGTGGTAAGTCAAGGCCTTGCTCAGCACCTTCGATCATTCTTTGCTGCAACTAATTCACAAACTCAGGTTTATTAGGCTGCGGATTCTCCACAAGGGGAAATGCTTGTTATTAGTGTGGAGATGTGTTGATGTTGATACAGGCCAAAAAAAGTCACTCTGAGCACTTTGTCCTCTGCTCTTCCCAGCATTCAGCAAAAACTGCACTTCATTTAACAAAGCTTTGACATTGTGCAGGTTCCAAATGTACAAAACAGTTAATGAAAAAACAAAACTGCAGTGTTGGCACTCCTGACCTGCAAATGAATGTGTGTAATGATGGACAAAGCTTATACAGTACTTTCCTTTCCTGCAGCTGTATCTGCAGGGATAGCTTTACATCTTTCTGCTTATCGTTTTTGGCCGTTACATGTGATACAGGTTAAACTGGTACCACAGGTTAGCGAGTACATTCCTGAATCTGCAGGTGCTGACGAACTTTGATATTTCCGATGTCCTGTTCTCTTACTGTCCAGGTTCCAGAGGAGTGTTCTGCGAGCTGAGGCAGAGTGATCGGAGGATGCTTGACTTTCACTCTAAACTGGGCTCCTTCAAAACCATAAATGTGGCCGGACTTCCCAAAGATGTCCTTGCCCTGGGAACAAGCCTGTGAACGAGATCACTCACAGATTTCTCTCAGGGTTGAAGTGTTCAGAGATGTGAACAAACACTCATTGCACCATTGTAATGGTCCAGCTCAGATTGAAGCGATCTGTGTAATTTAGCAGCCATCGCCCTTTGCCAGTTGTAATGGTCATAAAGCTAGAACATTCATGGAAATGCTTAAATAAAATGTGTAAAACTACTGTACCATAATGAAAAGTGATGCAACTATTGATTTTGTAAACATGAAAACTGTAAAATGCACAGTGATTATTTTTAGATTAAAGCCAGCACAATAAAAATGCTAATGCCATGCAGTATGGATGCAACCATATGATTTTGATTTGTTGCATGTATCAGACACACAAACATAAAGAGAAGATATTTTAATTTTGTTTTCAGAGGATACAAAAGGAAAACAGTTCTTAAACAGCTGGTGTTTCACTTGGTCCCTGGATCAAGGAGCTACTTGCATTTGGTTAAGACAAAGTGGACCTGCTCAGAGTAGAAGCTGCTATACATCAAGTGACCATGATTAGATCATTACACCTGTGCAAATATAATAAGAGAGACTTCAGTGTATCTGATCAGGTAAAATAAAATGCAAAGCAATGAATAAGCTTATTTCATGTAATGTAAGGACATTCTTTGTGTACATGTAGTCTATATTTTGGAATGTACTGTTTCACTTTGTTCCCCTGAGTGTCTGACCAGCAGAGAGGAGATTCACATTAACCTTGTTTCACACCGATAAATATACCTTTTTACCCAAACTCCTCTGGGAGACTAGCGCTGTCCAATCAAAATGAAACAGGATGTTTAACTCAAGGTAGAGAATACATTATTCCACCAGCATTGATATGAAGTAGTTAGGGCATTAAAATGCACCAAAAAAAAATCTTATCCCAACTTGTGTTTGGCTGGTGTGTTTAGCTACTGAGACCAGTCACACACACACAATATGTGAGTGAGTAATGACAATGTCCTCTCCTGGTGATCTAGCATTCTCCTGTGCTACCTTCTCTATCAAAGCTACTCTCAATTACTATATAATTATGAAGTATGCTGTATACATTAGGGATACACAGTATTATTGCACATTAAAATAGAGGGGAATGTACTATTCAGGACTCAGAAGAAGAGTGATGCATGTGTATGGCTCACTTTTAAATTCTCTAACAAAAGAGGGACCCCTGCCATTTTGAGAACTGTCCATCTTCAAATGAACTCCAGCCCTTCATACTTCACATCCCCAATCTTTGTCTCAGGCATCAGTACCCGACCGTCAAGTGTAAATGCAATGATGTAGGTGGCAATCCTGCCTGCATCCTCCTCTGACTTCAGGGCCAGAATAATCTGATCGTCCGTGTCCGGAACAAATTTAAACGAGGAGAAGCCATGGGTGGGGCTGAATGGTCCAACACGCTGCAGTGTTACGTAGCTGAAGTCTGCGGGGCAGGAAAGGAGGAGGTTGGTGGCACGTTGCTCGTCTGCTGTCTCTTCGTAGTGCTCGTGACTGGCACGGCGAGGCAGGAAGAACCAGCGCTGGAGACGCTTGCTCCATGCAGCAGATTCATGGATAAGGTAGCCTACAGAAGTGAGCAGTAACAAAATGAGTATTATATACTACTACTACAGTTTAGCTGTAAACGGTGCCCTCTGACTGTCCAGTTCTCAAAAGCTTTACTGGCAGCAGCTGTTCCTGTCTTGAGTTTTGTATTTTAGGCCACATGCAAGCCACCCTACTATATTACCGCTGGATGTTTGGGACCTGTAAGAAGCTTGTGGACTACTCAGAACAAAAATACTGTTTTCTTCTCTGAGTATATTTTCATTTAACAGTTTTTCTCCCACAAAGATGCCAGAATTGAAAACCAATCAGTAATAAAGAAAGAAACCCGTTTTTTCTTTTCCTGCATATACAACATTATATTTCAAAGAAAAATATGGTTTTAAAATACAATTAGCGCAACTGTAACAGAAATGTATACTTCTGGGTTTTTATTTACTTATTTTCAGATTTAAACTCCTCCTGACTTCTGAAACCTGAACTATGCCCTTCAGTTGAAAATAAGATGTGATTCCACTTCAGAGTTTATTTCGTATGTGAGCAAGACTAAAAAGAGGAGAGGAAAAATGTTTTCTAGCACCTGGTGGCTGGATCCCTGCTGCCCTCCGTAGGGCAGTGTAGTATGGCACCCAGTTCTCATGCTCCACGTCACCATGGTAGCCAACAACTTTCACCCACTCTGGGTTGTTGTTGACGACTTCTCCAGAGGTTGTGGTCCACTCCTTCCCCAGGCCGCCAACATACAGGTGCTCATCCTTCACTGTGAGCCACTCAGCCTTGAACCCTGCACACAAGAAGAGAAGACACTGTATGAATCTCTTAAAATGAGTAATTTTTCCCAAAGTCCCCAAGTTGCTCTCACTTAAGCTTCTGAGAATTGTGGTGGTCTTTTTTTTTGTGAAGATTGACCTTTGGAGACAGAGCCATCACCGTCAGGTAAGATAACCCAGGGTATAGCCTGGTTGCCTTCGATCCTGTACACCACGCCTGTACGGTCATCCACGCTGTACAAGTGACCATTGAAGGCCACCAGCTCTGACAGCTCCATACCTGCAGCCAAGATTGAGATAACCCACACTGATTTAACAACATTCACATAGTGGAGACTGTAAAAAGCAACAGATGAGTGTGTCCCTGTACCTCGTCCTTTTTCAGCAAGATGACTCTCCAGAGTGACTACCTCAGTATCCCACTCAACCTCCAATCTGTCACTGCTCTCTGAAACAGTCAGGTAACCTCTTTTCATGTAGCTGAACCAAGTCTGTTCCTTAGCACTACGTGACGCTGTGTCCAGGTCTGCAATCACACCTATACGGTAGCGAACGCTGTTCTTTGTCTTCTCTGGTGGACTTAACGGGTATGTGTCATTGTAAGGCTTTTCCTTTTTCTGACGATGAGCAAGGTTTTGTGCAGTTTGCCTGTAATTGTCATCCCCACCATTGCTGTGCATTTGTAAATTATGACCCCGGCTGCGGTAGTAACCTTTGGTAGGAGCATCCCCATTTCCTACTGTCCGGTGCAAATATAACAAGAGCACTAAAGCCAACAGGGTTGTCACTGTGATCGCTCTCCATTTTGGGTGAAAACGCGAGTCTGAGGTGACGCCTTGTTTCATGGAGATCAAGGCCAGGAAGAGGCCTCGGACTACACCGCCAAACAAGGTCATGGAAGCATCTTCTTCATCATCACTGTCAGGCCTAGACTGGAGGTGATGACTACCACAGCCTGGGATGGAGCAAAACAAAGAGAAGCAGATCAGGAGAGAGGAACAGTTGAGGATATGGTGCAACAAACATTGTGAAGCTGACACACTGTGAAAACTGACAGAGAAAAGAACAAACTCTTAATACAGCAGATTTACCTTTCATTCACATGCTGAGTGAGGCTTTCATAACACCTTAAAATATCAATATACATCACTAGAGCATGTGTTTAGGTATTCACTGTCTAGTTAATGTAATTGTATGGTACCGTATAGAATGAACTGGAATTGTTTTCAGCTGACAGAACACATATGTAACCGTTGTGTATTACTAATTTCAACACAACCAGAGAAAATAATAGCTGGAGGAGATAAAAGAATGAATATGGGGGAAGGCGACAACATGTTGGGAAAATAGGCCCTTTGTTCCTTTTGGTCTTTGTTCACAACAGAGCTTTGTTGTGTTGTTCTAGCATAGCATCTATTATGCACACTGAGTAGGTAGCTGGCACGTCCTGCTTCCCCAGCACGAAAAGCCTGTAATTAACCTTGTCAAAGTATTTTGTCCTGCTGAGAACTAAAGAGATCTGTTTGGAAACTGAATAGCACCAGTGCTGTGTGGGAAACACAGCCAATTCTAGTTTCTTCTAGTGATTTTCATGTTGTCACTTGAGCCAAAGCGCTTTGCATCAGACATGTGAGAGCAGGCCTGAAATAAAGACCACCTCCACTTATATGACAAAACCTAAGACATTTGTGTAAAAAAAATAAACTCCAACCTTGATGGAAAAAGAGGTCACACAGAACTTGCTAGGTTTTTAATGAGTGTGATTATTGTTTAGGTCATCGCCTACCAACTACACTGATCACGTGACAAGATGCGTAAGGATCTTGCTGGCTTATCACCTCTGCTAAACAAACCTGTGGACTCAACAAAATGCACTGGGTAAAATGAAAAACGCAGTCATCAAGTTAAAAACAAAGCAGTTTTTCAGAATTATTTAGACATAATTTGAAGATAGAGCACAAAATTTGCCCGATGTACATGTCATCTACTCCTGTAATCCTGCTGTGTGACAGTATCTACTCAGCTGTGGTCTTCTGTTTGTACTACACTCAGACAGTCATGTAATGAACAAGTTACACAAAGCTTTAAGCCAGGAATACCAGAAGTCAAAAGTGTGCTAACAATATGCAGAAATTCACAAACTGAACTCACATTTAAATTTATGTTGGTGAGTTTTTCCTCGTTCAGATCCACATGGAGTTGGTCATAATGAGCTGATGTCTTAGACTGAACTAAAAATGGGGTCTTCACTCCATTTTAGGTTTCACAAACAGGTAACAGGGCTGCCGGGACCTGCCAACAGCCATCCGGCCTGCTGAAATATGAGAAGTGTGCTTGTTTTTACGCTAAGGTGATCCTCAACCTTTCTGTTGTCAAGGGCAACCAATGGGTACAGTGAATAAGTTTCACAGCAGCATAGGTGAGCTCCCTCAGCCCACTTGTACTAAGTCACATAATGCATAAGTGTTCATTAATACCTGTCCAATGATAGAAATTTACAACTTTCAAAACATGTCACATCTTCCCTTTAATAGTTCAATCAAAAACCCAGAACACTTATGTTTAAAAGAACTTCCACCCACAGTAGCACAAGCAATTATGCCTTGATGCAAATATGTGATATTGGGCTACGCAAATAAAAACTGTACTTGACTCAAGTACACGATGCTCCTAGAAATGACAAATGATTGTAGCATAACATTATAGAAAATGCAGCTTCACAGTGAATGGATCCAGATCAGTGGAGAACAATGCAACTGAATATACACACAGATAAATCACCACCCAAAATAACTGACACAGCACTCCTCACTTAACATGCTCTTTATCACACAGGCACATGAAACTGGCAAACTCTTGACCAAGAAATAATGCCCTTATTGTCACTACAGCCCAGATTTCCCATCCCCACGCTGCACAGACCCAAACACCCTCACTGTATGCTGTACCAAAAATTCAGTTATTCACCTCGCCTTTGCCTCTTCTCCCCTGAACACGCTGTAACCATCGTACTGTTCTCCTTTGCAAGCATCTCATAATAAACTCCACATCCTTCTGCCCTCCGTCTCACACAAGCAAGTGATCTTTATCTCACCAAGTCCCCTCCTTTCCTCTCCAGCACATTATATCAAGTTTCTCCACCTTTGTTCTAGAGCTAAGAAAAAAGAACAGATTGGGCGTCGAAACCAAACCTTTCATAAAAAGTTCGATGAATTAAGTAGAAAGAGGAAGGCATAGTTAGAAAAGACAGATCAGAGAGCACCCGAAACCTTGAACATGTTTTAAAACCAGCCTTGTTGTGCTTTCGATGAGGGACAAACTAAACTTTCAGTGTTGTTGGATGTGTCTGCATTAAGTTTCATGCTCACTGTCCTTTAAGGTCAAAACATGGGCAGCATCAGCAACTCCCGGATGTGTGTGTATGTGATGCTGCTTAGAGGTTTATTGTGCACTCTGTCTTAGCACAAGCACGATTCCAAAATAAGTAAATAACTTAATAAACAAATTATTTCAAATTATTTCCTGTTTTGATTTATTAATAAAATGTACTAGTTAACTACCAATATTTGAAAGTTACAGCATCATAAAAGTAAAATGTTGCTTGCTTTGCCCCACTCTGATATAATCAATTAATTTGACTCAAAAGGCAATTTTCATTGTTACTTACTGGTTTTCTCTGAAACGTTCAACCACATGTCATGGTCTCCTTCGCTGCATGGAGCTGTCAGAGATAGAGATACCTCAGTCAGGAGTGAACCGTGCACTCTCTATTTACTTATCATATACGTCTGTGTTATTTACCACATATATAGAGCTTTGACAAAGATTACAGTTTAGTTTCTTTTAAATTACATTTATATGTACTTTATTCTACACATATGTATGGCTGAACATGGAAATGTGTGTCTTCTGCTGGTTTAGCCTGACCTTCATTCACATGTATAAAACATTCAAAGTCTTAATAAAGTCAATCCAAAAAAACAAACAAACAAAAACAAAAAACAAGTTTTACCATTAATGTTACTTCCATTTGACTGTAAAGGAAGCACACTATCTACCTACCTTTTTGTGTAATCACTTACACTACCATAACATTGTGTAGCTAATTACGTAATCACTTACCTCAAGCTTGACCATTAGCGTCACAGCGGGTTTGAGACCTTTTTATTACTCTACAGTGAGATGACTAAACAACGAAAACATGCTGTAGTCCTTGTCCTCATCATGCCCGGGCTACAGACACTTCTGGCTTGATAGTTCAATGGGGTATCGTTAATTTAACGCTACATCTCAGCCACCCTCCCTACCTGGGTCCGCAGACACGTCAGAAAAGCAGACGGTAACATAACAGCTAAACTAATATTAGCTAAACCTCAAAACCGTTTTCGTCACATGAAAGCAACAGACATCCCGATTTTCATGTAAAAAATGTTAGCCCCGAAGCTAGTTAACACCAGCTTATTAACAACAGAGCCTGCTAACAATAATCGTTGCCTGGTTCCGTTAACTTTAGTACTACCCAGAGCCGTACCAACAAGCTTTGACACTGGGCTGGAGTCAGAGTCTATTTAGTCATCATTTCGTGACTTGTGCAACTTCAGGGCTTACCTGGTGCAGAGAATCCCCCAATCTCCGTTGGCCATCTCCGAAGGTCTACGTGTCTGGCTTCTCAGTGAGAAAGTCCTCGTCTCGAGAAGTAACTCGATATCGTAACGGTCACGTCCTCGCGGACGGGGAGAAGACATCTTCTTCCTCGTTGTTTAACTGCAGTTGATATCCTAATGTTGCATTACTGCCCCCTACTGGATTTATCAGTTACCAAAATTCACTTCCAGCCAGTTGTTTTCGGTAAATTAAACAGCAACTTTCTGTTCTCCACCATTATCTAAGTTCCCATCAGGTCTTTCACATTGGACATCTCTCGCCCTACTCTTTGCAGTTCTCTCCACTTCACATTTCCTACACCAAAACAAAACGGTCTCCTTTTCCTGCCATTGACTACAGTGACCAGTTGGATGTTTCCTGATGATAAATAAAGAGCTGAGGCAGAAACTGGTGCGGATATCTAAAATATAACACAACAGTTCTCTATAATTGATACTGAATTATTAGTCACTACAAATTCACAAAATGGGATTTTTATTTTCAGGGGTGTTGTTTTTCTTCTCTGAGAACTGAAACCTCTAACCACGGACAAATTCACATTTTTTGATGGTTCCAGGGTGAAGTTACAGAATGCACCGTTGGACCCCTACTATCCACCTCAGTTACTCTTTTGTGATTCCTGGCTTTGTTTTATTTGTACGAGCAGACAAACCTTGAGTTAAAAAAATTAGTTCTTTAATGTAGCATCATTGAGTACTGATTTTGTGTCCCTATTCCATACATATTTGTTAGATACTGTGTTTCCACAGCATAACCTTTTGTTGAGACATTACTGTATATTTATACACAGTGCTGTGCCAATGTTGTTTATTTTCTGACAGCAGCAACCACAGTAAACAAAGCTCATTTTAATCAATGAAACTGTAAACTAGACAGTCAAAACAATCCACGTTATGGTTGATCAACCAAAGGGGATAGAAAATGTACATTTGCCATTATACAAATTTGACCTAATGCATATTCTATTAGAATCGATTCATGATGACTTTGTTCAGAGCTGTGTGTCGATATACAGTAGAAGTATACTGATATTGGATGATCAGTCAAAGACCAACGCCTCAGCTCTTCCCCATCACCTTCAAGAGAAGCTACAGAGAAAGGAATACATTTTCATTTCTTCCCTGTTATCAGCACAACTGCAGCTTGTACATCAATACTGAATATTACTATCATAAAGCTATTGGTCAAAAAAAGAAAGAGGTTACAGCATTGCTTTTCATGATGACTTGAATTTTCAATTATTTGGGTTTTGTGTGCATGTGTACCTTTGTCACGTGAGACTCTCCATCTACCAGTTGCTCAATGATACTGAAGTGATCTGTGTTCAGCACAACCTCCATGGTCACATTCAGTCCTGATGCTTCCAAAGCCTTAAAAGGCAAAGAAATAGAGGTATGCCACAAAGAGGTGAGGGAGCAGCCACACACATACATACATATATATACACATACATATACACACACACACACACACACACACACAACCATTTAAAGGTGCTAACTTGATGTGTCTCAGTATTATGTGATTATAAATCAAACACTGTCTGGTTGTTTCTCTTTGATTAAGACTTGGTGAGTAACAACCAGTGATCTCTATGGTTTTATCAGAATGTTCCATAAAAAAAAAAATCTAATATCTTCAAAAAGAGAAATTAGGAATGGCAACTACACTGTGTTTATAACAGACAAATTCACACTCAATTCATAGCAACACTGACTTTGTAATATTCTTCTGACTGCTTGTGGGACTCTGGCGATTCATTCTCAGCAACAGCCACTACAATATGGCAGGGGGGGGGGGGGGGGAGCTGGAGGAGGAGAGTTTGAGCTGAGGGACCAGCTTGCTGGGACTGTTTCTCACTGCCACCTCCCTGCCAACAGGAGACAGCCAGGAGACAGAGGTGTCAGGCACTGACCAGCACGACTGACCAGCAGAAGAGAAACACATGCACACACACACACACACACAAAAGGACATTTACAACCACAGCTTCTCCTTCACAACATAATGCTTTCTATGTCACAGTCACTGGCATTTACAGGCATACACTGTCAAATGGTTTCCTACAGGGTTTCTCAGCCTCATCTGGTCTCAAATAAACACATTTGTACATAATGTGACTCCATGTGAAGTCAAGGATGACAACCTCTGGATGTTGTGACAGTCTGATTATTATAAACAATACAATATTTTATCAGATCAGTAATCACATTATGTTCTTACAAGACTCTGTCAGGCAGTTAAAAACTAGCATCAATGATAGAAATCAGTGCAGCAGAACCAGATACCATCTCTCCATACATTCTCCTTCCTTGCCAGAACCTGGCACCTACATTACCCACAATGCAACTTGTCTACAGACAGTTCAGTCTGAGATTTGGGTCCATTATAGTCATAGCAGCTAACAAGAGAGCTCATTTTTTTTCCTAACTCCAACCCCACAGCTTTTTGTCATTGTCAAACTTGTAGACTTCATCCCCAGCCAGCGCTATCTCAAGTGATACTATTTATCAGATCCCCATGGAACCACAAAATGCTTTATCTAACTTTTTCATGTATGCAGTTTTACCCTACAAGACCTGTAAACACACAGTTTTGTACTGATAATTGTTGTCACATAGCTACTGCGGTCCTGCAGTGTTACTACAACCATTTACATAGACCCTATTAAGTCTCTTTCAGCTGATTTCTTGCCAGGTTAACTGCTTTTAATTACTATCAAATGGCTGTAACAATTAGATCAATATATCTAATCACATTAAAGGTTGCCATCTACATACTCTGTCATCTTCAAAGGCTCATTGACATAAGTGGACACGATGGGCAGGATGTCATAAATGCCACTGACAAGAAAAGCACCTGGAAGACAATTGGGGAAACAATTAAAAAACAAAATTACTGCTATGCAGCATTTGTTTCCCAGTGTTATTTCCCAGTATCTTTGCTTCTTCTTCAGTATAATGTCAGTGAATCATGAAGCCAAGCTCTCTGTGTACTGCTCATTCTGTTCCACCTGATAGACCTCACCTTTGATCTGGGGGGTGACGCTGTACTGCGACCAGTCAGTGGAGAGGATCATTGCAGCCAGGTGAGCTCCAGCAGAGTGGCCACACAGGTACAAACCACTGAAGGAAAGAGTTAAAAACACAGACATGCAGTGGATTTATAATAAAAATTGTGATGTTTTAACTCCTCAAACTGGGTGAGAATAACAGGGCGAAAAACAACCATCTGTACCTGATGTGAGAATACTGCTCAACAACAGACACAACACTCCTGCGCACTTGCGACACCATCAGGTCCATGTTACCTGAAAAATGCGTGAAAGGCCACAGGCAGATAGGGCCAACATTTCCAGGAAATCTTCTTCAAACTGAAACAGCTTTTTCATCAATGAAAATGCGTTACCTTTGGGGGCGATGTCATAGTCAACAGCAACCACCACTACACCTTTATCTACAAGCGGAACAGCCAGGAATCCAGACTGGTCCTTACTATAGGAACACAACGCATCAGCATGAAAAACACAAAGATCTACAGTATGTTACAGTTCAGAAGCCACTGAGAGCTTTGCACTTTACCTGAGAAACTGCCAGTAGCCTCCATGTATGAAAATAACAAGGGAGACATCTGAAACAGAGGGCATGATGCCTGTTAACATGGAACATGACAGCGGGGTGGGGTTTAGGTGTCATGGCGGTCACCCATGTCAGTACCTAAAGAGCTGGTGCTGGGTATGTAGACATCCAGTTTCTCTCCATCTCCCTCCCCATATGGCACGTTGAGTAAAGTCTGAGCTAGACGACGGGCTCGCTCCGTACCTGCACAACACACGGCATCAAAACATGACATCGGAAGATAGTTAATCCCTGTATACTCTGGCTGATATCTCTTGTAATATTTCTGGTGGCATTATGTCACTGTGGGCAATGTTGAGCAATACTGGATTTTAGCATGATATAGTGTTTTTGTTTGTTGGGTATTTAAATCACTGGACTAGGCAGTAAAGGACATTCCCATGTAACATTTTATTATAAACAGTTATCTCATGAGATGGCATGGGGGCCCTGAGATAAGGCTGTGGCCATGAATGGCAGCATGCCCGATTCAAGTCATCTCTCTCTACCCTCACTTCTTTTCTACCCTGCTGCTGACTCTCTAATAAAGGCATCAAATGCCCTCAAAATAAATAAGAATCGATTGATGTCACCTGTACCATGATTAACAATTTTGCTATAACTGACAAAAAAACAAACAAATTATGCCACTGTGAAGGGTTTGTGCAAAAATATACCAATCATGGTATATTTCAGTTTTTCTTGTCCAGAAACATATATACCCCTGTGAAAGGTGTGTGCAAAAATATACCAATCATGGCATTTTTTCTTGTCCAGAAACATATATACCCTCTATAGTTCTGGCTACAAAAACAGTGTCTTCACCAGGTTCAACATATGTCCTAAATATGCCCATGTGTCTTTATGTAGAATATGCACAGGTGTAGGATCTTGCAACCTATTTAAGTAGCATGTGTTTTATTGTGAAAATGTTCACACCCCGCAACAAAACTCACAAACTGCAATGTGTAATCTGTATAGCCTTAACATCGAACACTAAACCAAACAGATTCAGTCGGTCCAAATTGTGGGTGATATAGAATAATGTCTGTATTTTTTCTCTGCCAGAATGTGTTTATACAGTGAGATACTTTTGTCATGACACCTGTGCTCCTACGGCGCTGCTTCCCTGTCTGTTCGCCACAACCGGATTTCTGTGTATTGTCCCTTAAAAGCGTCCAGCTTCAAAACACACCGACCTTCAGTTAAAACCTTCACATGAGCTTTGATCACGTCGTCTGCAGACATCCTGTGCGACCACCGGCTGGGCGAATACTGCCTCTCAAGCTCCTGTCAAACAGAGAAACTCCTGTGAGCTGGGCGGCCATGAAAGACGACACAGCCAACACCACCACCACCACCAGCTGTGGCAAACAGCGCCCCCCTCTGGTAATATGAACCCTCTGCTTCGGTGGCACTGCTTTAGGCTACTGTCCACGACTGAGGTTGGGTTTCCAATTCGACAATTAAGGAAGGGTAAAGTTAAGAAAGCTTAAGTTACAGTATAAGCAAAAATTTCTCGGTGAATCTGCACCCATTAATGTTGTGAAAGGCTATTAGACTTTTAGAAAAACCCTTAATACTTGATGATTGTAATAAATGGTCTTATACTTGTATAGCCTTTCTATGCTTTTTACAGCACACTCAAAGCGCGTTCACATTATTCGGCCATTCACCCATTCGCACTCCCAAGCACTCACGCATTCACACACCGGTGACATCACCGGGAGCAACTGGGGGTTCAGTGTCTTGCTCAAGGACACCTCGACATGTTGACTGGACAAGCCGGGAATCGAACCGCTAATCCTCCGGTTAGGAAAGTCAAGTCAAAGTGTTTATTATGCACAGTACGGAAAGGTGTTTCCCTGTCAGGTTTGCCCGGCTACATCTGCCTCACTCACCTCCCTCACTGTTGTTTCTCGTCATCGGCCCCTGATTTCACCACCTGGCACACCTGCTCCACATCCCGTTATTGTCACCAGCTGCACCTCATTAGTTCGACTCCTACTTAGGCCCTGCTCACATGTCACTCCCTTGCCAGTTCAATCTTGTTCTCAGGCCCTCGCCGTCGTTATTTTTGTATTTGACCGTTTTTCAGTTCTTCTTTCTCCTAGCTCCAGCCGCTTCAATTTTGGATTCCCCGTTGTCATACGCCTCTATGTTGTCATCTCCCTCCACGGACTACACCTCTGGACCTTGGCTCTACGCTACCCTTCCAGTCTCCACCATTCAGGTGCACAGTCACTAGTACCCATCTGTACAAACTCCTGTCCTTTCTTCTCATCAGTAACCTCCATCTCCGCAGCTCAGGAGTGACCCCCGCTGATGCAGCCCGGCCCACCTCATCCATCTCACCCCTGACTGTTTCTCCTCTGTTGATTGACACCCGGTCTACTCACACCTTCTACGCCTGCCTGTTTTCTTGTCTTCACTACACTATAAATAATAAAACACTGCTTGCACTAAAGTCAGCTACCTGGGTCCGTCTAACCTTTTGCTCACTCTCCATGTTCGAGCAGACTTAACATTCCCTGTACAACAAAATTCTTATTTTGCCGTCCACATGAATGCCACACAATACAAATGAAATAAAGTAGATAAGTAACACAAAAGCTAAGGCACCAAATGAAGAGATATAATAAGAGAATGCGTGCTACATGGGACCTGAATGTGCAAACTGAGAATGTAAACAGTACAGGTGGACAGTATGTCATTACACTTTGATTGCCTTTGTTGCCTTTATAAAACTTTTATGTTAAGACTAAGTGTTCCTTCTGGCTTTTGACTCCTTATCCGACTCCAAAGGAGACCTGCACAAGAATTCCTATATGCCTAGACTGTCTATTTATGCATAAATGGCAAATAAAAATCTTGAATGATGTATTTCCTGGTAATAAGACAATTTTACTGTTTTCCCCTCATGTAGACCAAATCAGACTTAATCTAGATCCAAAACCACTATACTTAGTCAAATCTGTACTAGACTGGATTTATCAAGGGGAGTTAACCAGTCAGAGGGGAGTAAAACGACGGTACAGGAGAATGCAGCGGCTACTTCATGTCCTCCTGAATTTGGCACAAACAGTATTTATCTGTTTTTATGAACATTATCTATTCTTTATCTTTGTTATATTTACTATTTATTTTCTTGCTGGAATACCTGTAATAACAGAATTTCATTTCACTATGTACCTTGTTGGCCTATATATGGCTGAAATGACAAAGGCTGAGTTGAGTTGAACTGAGTATAAAGAGTCTTTAAGTGTTAGGTTACCATTGTTTTAAGAATGTTGAACAAATGTTCCTGTACCCCTCAAAAAAACATTATAAGAACCTTATCAAAACCTTCCCAATAAAAATATAGGGAAATGGTTTGATAACATTCGGTCAGAAAAACATTATGTACAAACATAATAATAATATCCAAAAGAATGTTGTAGAAATGAAAAACTAAAAACCTTATGGTAACAATGGGTTAAAACATTCCAAGAACGTTTTTGTCAAAACATTCCAGGAACGTTGCCTTGAAACGTTCCTACACCCACAATATGAATGTTCTAGGAACTTTTAAAAAACTTGCCACTGAAAACATCACTGGAACGTTCTAAGATAACGTATTCCTAAACAAACATGAACGTAACTGGTGCGGAACAAAAAATTCTGGGAACAGCTGACCTGTATAAGTGAAAAGATAAGATAAGCCAATCGGGGTACACCCTGGACAGGTCGCTAATCCATCACAGGGCTAACACATAGAAATTCTGGGAACAGCTGACCTGTATAAGTGAAAAGATAAGATAGACCAATCGGGGTACACCCTGGACAGGTCGCTAATCCATCACAGGACTAACACATAGACGAACAACCACACACATGCACTCCTATGGGCAATTTAGAGACACCAATCAACCTAAGCTGCATGTCTTTGGACTGTGGGAGGAAGCCAGAGTACCCGGAGAGAACCCACGCAAGCACGGGGAGAACATGCAAACTCCACACAGAAAGGTCCCAGGTGGGGCCCGAACCCAGAACCTTCTCGCTGTGAGGCAACGGCGCTAACCACTCACTGAATCACTGGTCAATTACTGTGTTAGCCAACTGGAGCACTGTTTAACATCAAAGGGACTGGTTCACTAAACCACTGAATCTCATGAGATTTACAACTTTGGCGAAGAGAATCCACAGTTACTTTATCACCACCACCTGGCTGATGAAGCCAGGGGAAATAGGGTTCACTGGGACACCAAGGTTAGTAAACAGAGATTAGCTCTGAAGCCAATAAGAGGAGAAAACTTCAAAGGCAGAACCATTATGCACACAGGCAGAGTAGTTAGTTAGAAACAAAGGAAGAAGTGAGTGTCTATGCAGAAATTAAGGCAGTATAAGTATTCCTCCCCTTCCTAGGGTGATGTCCTCTATGAGTGGAGCAGAAAGGATGTAGGAGGACGGACGGACCGAAGTACCAACAACGGGAGAGCTAAGTCTAACCCACGGCTCCTACCCAACAGTTTTTGAGCAATCAGATAGTAGCACCTGTGCATACAAATATTGTATGCTGATAAGTTGAGAGTAGTCTTTTCTGTTTTTCCTAAACAGTGAAGATCCATGTGCACATGCTTATTTTGATATGTTAATGCATAATAAATTTCACACTGTGGAATATCCTTTTATTAGTCTTCTCTTCTCAAATAAAAGAACACGCCTCACACTAACAATGAATACTGGACACTTGGTTGTCTGCAGTTGCAGACACCCTGTCTGTGTAGGTTATTACAGGACAAAGCAGACCTTGTGAAAATGCTACACAGGCCAAGTGATCATCTCAAGTTGTAGGCCCCCTGTCTCTGCAAAATAGTATATGCAGAACTTGTAAAATGCTAAGTGGGCCTATGTGAAGATGCAAAACAGGCCATCTGGTTAATTAAAGATGAGGACATCCACAAAGTTCTAGCAGACAGTTTCTACTCAGTAGTTCTTAACAATCATCAATACAGTTGTAATATATATAAGCAAGGAAAATAAAAGGTATAAAAAGTAACTAAAGCTTATAAAATTCTAATATTATACTCTGTAGGTTTCCCTTGACTTTTCCTTTAACTATGAAGCCACCATTGGAAAGCTAACTTCAGCGTCCTGTAAGTTCCTTTAATAGTTGTGAAAACAGGAACTATGAATGACATAGGGTTAAAACAAAAACAACACAATATAAGATCACAGTTTGGGATAATGTTAGTTAAATGGCTAGTTGATATAGCTAGTTAATCAATGCAGCAGAAAGAAAAGGGGAAATATCACTCAAACTCAGACTTACTTCTTTCTTCATTTCAGTCCAGTGCATTGTTTTATCTCACTAGGTGACTTATATCGCTGAAAGTCTGCAGACACATAAATCCAAGCAGCATGCGTTCAGCGGTGGTAACCTACTTTATATGGAGATAAAATCCAATATGGAGATAAAATCCACAAAACGTTAAACACGCATTTGTAACATTTTTGATAGGATTTTATCTCCATAACTTTAAGGACTGACCTTCGAAGTTCTGGGTGTCACCATCTATATGTATTTTGCAGGGAATTTCGCAACAGAACGTGTGACGCAAGACGATCTATGACGCCCTGCACGTGACGTATGGTTCAAAATGTCACGTGACTCTGCTCTCATTGGTGTGGTTGTGGCCGTAGCGGAGCGTTTGCTTGCGCGCCATATTCAATCATATCTAGGAAGTTAGCCTGTTGATACGGTTGTTTTAATTTAATTGTTTAACTTTCTTTTAATTATACCATCTTTAAATAAAAATGGACCATGTGGGCTTTTCAAGAGTTCTTCCAAATTCACCAAAGACAGTCCGGGGACAAATACAGGTTTGTTTCAGATTGATGTCGCGCTAACTTACTCTCTTAATTGTAACTAACTCCGAACCGTCAAAACTCTTGTTAGTGTAAATAAAGGAGACACAGTATTGGCAGACGTTAGATGCGTACGTATCTGAAAGGATGATATACTTGTAGTCACAGAGCTTTCCTTGTTTACGGACTTCCTCAGTCTGACGAACAACCCTGTACTGTTGTTTGCAGGTCATCTTTGGACCGATGTTTTCGGGCAAAAGGTGAGTTAATCACTAAAAAACTTAAGTTCATTGTAGCTAGCTTGTGACATTGATGTTCACTGTTTAAATCACTGTAAAACAACACCGATGTTACGGATTCCGCCCAGCTTCACCAACGTTATCCCGCCAAATCATGTATTGTTTCCCACCTCTCAGTAATAACATTTCTTTGGCTCTGGTATAAAGCGTAACGTTGCCTGTGCACGATTTACTGTTTCAGGCCCACTTCACACTGATTCAGCATATTATACCGAACAACATGTTAAACAGGGTTCATCACCACATGCTTAAAATATGCAGTACAGTAGTAAAATGCTGGTGTAACATTAGTGTGAGATGGGAACTGTCAGAAAACTGAAAACATCAACATTTGATTTTGTGCACAAAATGAATGTACGGATGGGCTTCAGTGATGTTTACCTAATGATTTTCATGTACATTACAGCACTGAGCTGATGAGAAGGGTGCGCCGTTTCCAGATAGCCCAGTACAACTGTTTGGTGATTAAATATGCCAAAGACACACGTTATTCGGACTCAGACATGGTTACACATGACAAGTAAGTCCCTGGTTTTCTCTTTGTTGGCCAAGTTGCTTTTATATACAGAAATATCCTTCTCTGTGTTGGAAACAACAGGACACATTAACACTTTGTTACCCTGCCCAGAGGTTGTTTTAATTTGTGCACAGCTGTGCATGGTCTGGGTCATAAAATCATGAATATAAATAAGAACATTGATTAATTGTCTGAAAAGTAGACTTTAATCTTAATTTAAAGAAATCAGGAATTGCATAGTTTTCTCATGAATATGGGCCATTACTTTACAGTATGTCTATCACCAGTTTGATGGAAGCTGACCTCTAGTGGTGAGGTTCCTCAGTAGGTGTTGAGTTTCCTGTTAGCTATTATTATGGTGGACTTGGAGTAAAGCCGGAAGCAATTTGGAAGGTTTTTATTAGGTAAAATCTAAACAGTGTTACAATGCATTGCACATTTCCTCTTTGAAAAGTTTCTCTCTATCTTGTTCATCCTTTAGAAACACAATGGAAGCTATACCAGCAGCTTGTCTGGAACATGTGAGGCCTCTGGCGCTGCAGGCCTGTGTCATTGGAATTGATGAAGGACAGTTTGTAAGTGTGTATATATATCCTGTATAAGTTCCTTTTTCTTTGGGACAAGTGAGTGTTCACTTCACAGAGAACAAGATGTCCTACTCACTACACTAGTGAAGGGTATTGATTTAGAGGAACCATGTGTGCCATAAGTTCAGGTCTGTCTTAACACAGTAGTGATTCAGGATTGAAATCAGGATTGCATGTTCCTATAGACAGGAGTGGCACAAGGATATCAACACTAAATCTTTGCTTCTTCTGTGATGTTGTAGTTTCGAGATGTGGTGGAGTTCTGTGAGGAGATGGCGAATTTAGGGAAGACGATCATTATAGCTGCGTTAGATGCTACCTTCCAGAGAAAGGTATGTCTGTTTGTCGCAACATGTCACAGAGACACTGGCAAACACTCACAGTTCACACTAACAAACGGCCACTGTCTCGCTGCTGCAGGAAAGATAAAGCATCACTGTGGGTCTGGACACAACAAAATGTCCAAAACAAGGAACACATTTTTAAGGAGGGACTGAACAATCTGCATGAGCAGAACCATGACAGACATTATTGTTCCACAGTATAGTGTTTCCTCTGTCCTTGAAATGTAATTATACCTGACTGATTGCTCTTCTGCTGCCCTGTGCATTTTTGTAGCCATTTGGAAACATCCTGAGCATTGTCCCTCTGGCGGAGAGTGTAGTGAAGCTGAATGCCGTCTGCATGCAGTGTTACAAAGAAGCTGCCTACACCAAGAGGATCGGAACAGAGACAGAGGTGACAAACTGAAGAAGAGCCTGAATATGTTGAACATAAATGGCTTCACAACACTTTTTAAAGGGCGGTGATAACTGTACAAAAGTCTGTCACAGCCTGAAATTATTTCACAAAAAATCCAAAGTGATAGTGTGTGACTGTTCTTGATGATTTTTGGTTTTCACATTCAGAAAATCATTGGAATATCGTATCACACACCCATAAGTGTAGATTGCAGTGAATGAAACAAAGTCCCCTTTTCTTTTAAGATGTTTATAACCAGTCGGTGGGTTTTCTTTGCTGTAGGTGGAAGTGATCGGTGGAGCTGACAAGTACCAGGCAGTGTGCAGAAAGTGTTATGGAGGTCTGATGGTGGACAAAGAGAACAGTGCTCCCTTCAGGAAAGAATCTCCACAGCACATCCTCACAGGAAAACTTGCAGACTGTGGAGTTTCCAGGAAGCTTTTCTCCCACCTCCACTTCTGAACCCAAAAACTTGCTGCAGAAGTTCAGCAGAGTTGACAAATTCCCTTTTCCCTTTGTGTAAAGACGTGCTTCACAATGTATGGATTTAGACCACAGGATCATTTTAAGTTATTTCTCCAGAGATTTTTATTAAACCATTTGGGAAATTCTCCTTTGCTCATTTGCAAATTGTGAATGACTTTAACTTAGTACACTCTATGCTTTATAAGTAGTCCAATATCCACACATGCTACTAAGGACCAAAATAACATGGCTCCAGGGCTGCGCAGGGAGTTGGCAGGGTAGAGTGGTTAAGTATATCCTCCATACTAATTAAATCCAGTATATGAATGCAACAATGTCTCCAATAAGAGTGAACCTTCTGTAAATGGTTTTATTCCATAAATAAAAGGTTGCTGTTGTGCTTCTGATACCATCACATGAAATTACAAGAGATGTTGGCAAAAGGTCATCTGGTGACTTTACAACTCTGAGGAAAAAAAAAAACAACTTGCAAACAACAGAACAATCATGCTGTATGAGATCCGACTAGTTTCTTGTGCCTTTTTTTTTTATAAAACAATTAGACCATCATTTTAGTTACATCTGAAACATGGACTCTGAACAGATATCAATTTAACTAAATATCAACATAATCAGATTAAACACTTGGATGTCACTGAGGTGTTAAACTGATAATATTAGAGGGACACAAAGCGACAAAATAAACCGGTAGCCTCCAAAAGGACAGTTGTCCAGTTTGGTGTGTTAATCCGTCATCTGAAAAGGAATACTGTACATTACATGCAGCAGTCTGCAGTTTAAGAACCATATAAACATGTTCAGAAAACAAAATGTCACAATGATTTGGAGAAGTGTGAGGCTGCTGTATTCATAGGCTGAACAGGAAACACTTGCTGGTAATTAGTGAATACACTCAGTATGAACACATGCGCAGTGGACA